TATATATATATATATATATATATATATATATATATATATATATATATATATATATATATATATATATATATATATATATATATATATATATATATATATATATATATATATATATATATATATATATATATATATATATATATATATATATATATATATATATATAGGAAAAAAAATGTTAAATATATCAGTTTTTATGATAAATCTCAACCAATTTGAATGATTTGTACTAATATTTTAGTTTAGTGCACCGTTACGGCCCTAGATAAAAATCTAATGTTGTATTCATTGAGTGAATTAAATAAAAACTTAAATAATGATAAATTAATTAATTAATAAATACATTCCGTCCACCCTTAAAATACTAATAAAAAGTACAATTATTTCAAAATAATAAAATTTTTATATAACTTTTACTAGTGTAATGTACAAAACAATCTATAAATAAATGTACATTAAGCATTCTAGCCAAGGCTTTAGTACAGTAAATCTTGCATTAATGACTACCTCATAGTGGTTTAAGCTGTAAAGCAAACGCATGTTGGATTTACAGCGTGATTAAAAAGAAGAAGAGGAGGAAACACTTTATTTTAAGGTGTACTTGTTACACAGGTATCTATCGTTATTATAAATAATTACGTGCAAATAACCCTCGTTCTAATCATATCCACACAGTAAATACGTGTAATTAATATTACTCAGCGTTTGAGTCAATAGTTACACTAGAACAAGACAGCTTAGAATAAAGTGTTAGAGAAGAAATAAACAGATGAACAGAGGTTATTTCTCTTCAGATGAGTGTGGATATCTTACAGAGTTCTGCTTCTCATGCGGACAGTTCCACTTTCTCCTGTAGGGGTGTTTGGAGGAGTTTATTGGACAAAAACAAAGGGAAATGTACCGGGAAGTAAATAAAGTCAGCATTCATGACTGTGTGTGTGTGTGTGTGTGTGTTTAAGTGTCTCTGTGTGCGTGTCGTTAAGGTGTGTGTGTGTGTGTGTGTGTGTTTAATTGTCTCTGTGTGCGTGTCGTTAAGGTTTGTGTGTGTGTGTGTGTGTTTAATTTTGGGAATGTGTATGTTTAAATGTCTCTGTGTGTGCATGCTTATGTGTGTGTGTTTAACTATGTTAAAAAGTAAACTATGTTTAAGTGTGTGTGTGTGTGTGTGTGTGTGTTTTGGCATGTATATGTGTGTGTTCATATGTGTTTAAGTATGTGTGTGTGGGTCTGTGTGTTTAAGTGTGTTTGTTTGTGTTAACGTGTGTGTTTAAATGCCGCTGCGTGTGTGTATAAGTGTGTGGGTGTGTACTTGTGTGTGTTTAAATGCATGTCTGTGTTTGTGTGTGTTTAAGTGCGTGTTTATGTGCATGTGAGTGTGTGTGAGTGTGTGAAAGTTTAGGTGAATGTCTGTGTGTGTGTTTAAATGTCTCTGTGTTTGTGTGGGTGTGTATGTGTGTGTGTTTAAGCGTGTGGGTGTGTGTAACTGTGTGTGTGTGTGCGTTTAAGTCTTTCTGTGTGTATGTGTGCTGTATGTGTGTATGAACTGTATGCGCGTGTGTGTGTGTGTGTGTTCAAGTATTTCTTTGTGTGTATGTTTGTATGGTTATATATATGTGTGTGTGTGTGTGTATACTGTATGTGTGTCAGATGGAGATGGGGCAGGCGATGACCTTGTCCTCCAGCAGGACACTGACCACCAGGAAGACGATGTAGAGCAGGAACATGATGAAGCCCAGCAGTTTGCTCATCCTCCACTTGCAGGCGGCGATGGAGACGATGACGAAGAGCAGCATGAGGAAGAGCAGCACGATGGCGCAGAACAGCCCGTTACTGCTCACCTGCACCGGGACCATCCCGTTCACCATCGAGAACAGCAGCCACGGGAACGGTAACCTGGGAGACAGAGGAACACTCGGAATGTTACACACACACACACTGGTGTTGCATTCCAATGGGCATTCTATCTGTTCTAAAGAGCGTTCCAAAATAGAATCAGTGTTCCAAACTGTAGGATGTTGGAAAGACTACGTCAAAGGTATTATCCGGTAGAACTTGGAAGTGCAGAACCGTGCATACTCTACCCACTACTGTTACCCATAATACACTGTGCACTGGACGTAAATCCGATTAGAACTACAAACTTGTGTAAACAAACTACAAACATGGTGGACGCCCGAGACCAATGGTCAAGTAGAGAGGCTTCGTTAAAACATTCCCAAAGCGACAGATTTAAAAACAAGACTAACTTTATGGAGACTCCTGTCGCTGATCATCTAAAACTCCACATCTATACTCCTCTTAGTCTATGCTCACATCATCTTCAGCAGCTCAAACACTCTGATCGCTAATGGACAGACGGCTGCTTCTCACTTAGGGTTGCTGTTTATGCTAATAAGGGAGATTAGTGGGCGGGGCTTTTCTCCTCTGATGACACGTACAAAAGGAGAATGCCAATCAAAGTGTTTCATTCATCAAGTCTGATTATAACAAATTGTATAAATTATTATTTACCACTTGAGGCTGCTGGAGATATTCACACACTCTTTAAACCCCTTATAAAAAAGACTTCTGCATAATATTCTTTCATTTTCTGCAGCTTTTCTGGGGCCTGGTCGCGGGGGCAGCAGACTTCCATCTCCCCAGAAACTTCCTCCAGCTCCTTAGGGGGGATACCGAGGCGTTCCCAGGCCAGCCTGGAGACATAGGTCCTCCAGCTTGTCCTGGGTCATCCCCGAGGCCTCCTCCCAGTGGGACATTTCAAGAGTTCACACTTAGCTGATGATTGATAATAACGCTAGTTTGGCGTGCTGTCCTGGGAGAGAGACCTGAGCTTATAAGATCCTCGAGCCCTGGGCTCCCTCCCGTTGCAAGGCGAGAGGAGAGTTTGAGCTCAGGCAGATCTCGATGACTCCCCCTCTTGGTTATTGTAGTGTCAGATATGGATGCTGAAGGTGTACTCAGAGTTTAGCTAAAATATTTTGGATTAATTGTTTAGGGTGCTTGTTTTTGAACTGTGGGAGGAAACCGGAGGACCCGGGGAAAACCCACTCGACCACGGGGAGAACGAGCAAACTCCGCACAGAAATGCCGTCTGGTTTGGAAAGGAATTAAACCAGGGGCATTCTTGCTGTGAGGCAACAGCGCTAATCACTGGCCACCGTGACGCCCGTTTAAAAGGAGGGAAAGTAGGGTTGGGTGGGGGGGGGGGGGGTTTCTTCGAGACGAAGATATTGAGATGAGAAATTATTTATAGTGAGTTAAGGATCGTCTGATAGGATCATCAGTTATTAGCTAAAGTTGGAACAGCTGTGAACAA